CGGGGCGTGCGCGGGGCCCCGCCCCCCGTGCCTCGATGGGCGCCTTCTCCGCGACCTTCGAGTGGTTTTCGGGGGGTTCGGCTCTGTCCGAAGGGCACCCGAAGGCTGGGTGGCTGGGGACCGGTGCTGCGTGCCCAGGTGGCCAAGAAGGACAATGGCATCCTGGTTTGTAGCAGGAATAGCACGGCCAGCAGGAGCAGGGAAGTGATTGTCCCCCTGTGCTCGGCACTGATGAGGCTGCACCTCGAGCGCTGTGCTCGGTTTGGGGCCCCTCATTACAAGAGGGACATTGAGGGGCTGGAGCGTGTCCAGAGAAGGGCAAGGAAGCTGGTGAAGGGGCTGGAGAACATCTGAGGGAACTGGGGTTGTTTCGTCTGGAGAAAAGGAGGCTGAGGGGACACCTCATTGCTCTCTACAACTACCTGAAGAGAGGCCGTAGCAAGGTGGGTGTTGGTCTCTTCTCCCAAGCGACAAGGGACAGACAAGAAGAAGTGGCCTCAAGTTGTGACAGGGGAGATTTAGCTTGGAAATTAGGAAAAAGACAAGAGGAAATGGTCTCAGGTTGTGACAGAGGAGGTTTACATTGGATGTTAGGAAAAAAAATCTTAATGAAAGCGTTCCAGGCACTGGCACAGGCTGCCCAGGGAAGGGGTGGAGTCACTGTCCCTGGAGGTATTTAAAAGCCGTGTAGATGTGGTGCTCAGGGTTTAGTGGTGGACTTGACAGTTCTGGGCTAATGGTTGGACTTGTGATCTTAAAGGTCTTTTCTAAGCAAAACAATTATTTTCTGTGATGACTGGCAGTGGGATCAAGTGCACCCTCAGCAAGGTTGCTGACAAAACCAAGCTGTGTGGTGAGGTTGACACACTGGAGGGAAAGGATGTCATCCAGAGGGACCTTGACAGGCTTGAGAGGTGGGCCCATGCAAACGAAATGAAGACCAATAAAGGGCCACAAAGATGATCAGAGGGCTGGAGCACCTCTCCTAGGAAGACAGGCTGAGAGAGTTGGGGTTTTTCAGCCTGGAGAAGAGAAGGCTCTGGGGAGAACTTATAGCAGCCTTCGAGTGCCTGAAGAGGCTACAGGAAAGCTGGGCAGGGACTTTTGACAAGGGCTTGCAGGGAGAAGATGAGGGGGAAATGGTTTCAGATTGAAAGAGGGTAGATTTAGATTAGGTATTAAGAAGAAATTCTTCACTGTGAGGGTGGTGAGACACTGGCTCAAGGAACCTGAGAGCCTTTGGCTGAATGTTTTGTGACTAACTGACCCAACCGGTTTACACACAGAGAGCCCAGCTGGATCAGGCATCTCCAGCCTCCACTATAGCTGATTGGAGGTCCTGTGGCCAGAGTGATTTAGACCACTCATGTCCATGAGGACTAGGCACCATGCTCTTGAGAGGGGTCTAGGGTCTTCAGCCTAGGTGGTCTGGGAGCCAAGGGGTCTTAGTAACACAAGCCCAAAGGGATTAGGTGCCTCCAGACCATGGATTTCAGGACAACATGATTTGGAATGCTTAGTGGCTAAAAGGCTCAGGCACCAGCTACCCAAGTGATTTAGATCACCAGGCCAGAGGATCTGGGAGCTAACACATGTGAGGTTGAAGACCCCAGGCCTATGGGATTTAGGCAAAGTAAGCCCAAGAGGGCTGGGCACCCATAACTCATGCGATTTTGGAGCTCCTGGCCCAGGGTTGAGGATCCTGACATCTCAGGAGGTCAGATGTCTCTAGCCAAGTGCGATTAGGCACCTCCTGCCCAAGGCTATCAGATGCTGCTGAGCACTAGGACCAGCCCCCAGGCTCCCTGCCAGCCCCGGCTGGCAGCACGGCCCAGCCCTGCCCAGGGAGAGCTGCTGGCTGGGGCCAGGCAGGGCCAGGCAGGCCCTGGAGCCATGCCAGCCCCTGCAGCCTCAGGTGACAGTGGGGCCATCGCCAGCAGTTCTGCCTCAGCCTGGCCTGGCTGTCCAGCCTGCAGAGCTGCCCACTGCCGTGCTCAGGGCCCTTCCTCTCCATGGAGCAAAGCCCCTCCTAGCTCGGTTTGTCCCTTCTCCCCAGGGATCAAACTCTTCCCATTGACTAGACACTTCCAACTCCTCAAAAGCAAACATGGACAGACCCTGGCTGTGCTCCAGCTCCAGGAGTCCCTGCCAGCACCCAGTCCTGCCAGCTGGAGTTATCTCCAGCACCAGACCAGCACAACTCGCCTCAGGCCCCGTGTTGAGGACCCAGTGGAAGAGAGAGCAGGGAGCCCTTTTTCCTCCTTTGGGGAAGGCTGTGGCTCTCACAGCCACATGTTCCCACTTTCTCTCTTGACACAAGGAGCATCTTCACCCAGCCCCAGCAAATGCTCAAGCCCCCAGGTGCCGGGGCTGGATCAGGAATTGAAATCCTGTATGGCCTCGACAGACACACGGAGCCAGCATCCCTCCCAACCCCCCACAGGCAGCCCGGTGATAAAAACACCCAAAACAACAGACACACGCAAGAAATTTCTGAGACATCGAAATAAACACCCAGACCAGTAACTCTTAAAAATGGGAACTCTCCGTACCAAACATGTTCCTTTTTTCTTTCGTTAACTGCCTTGTTTTAGCTATTTCCAGACAGGGATAGATCAATTCTTTATAAAAAGCAACAGAAAGGGGTAAGAATAAAGGCCAAAGTTATTTACAGAAACCAATAGGGAGAGTACCGAGACGCCTTTAGACTTGTCACTTCTTCTTGGGTGATTTCCGGGCGCTGGACTTGGCTCTGGGTTTCGACCGCTTTGCCTTCTTGGTCTTGGATGCCTTCAGTGACTTGGCCCTAACAGTCTTTGGCTTCTTGGCTTTCTTTGGGCTGCTCCTTGACTTCTTCCTGGCTTTCCTGGCGGCAGACTTGGGCTTCTTAGCCGGCGACCTGGCTTTCCTGGGCCTAGCCGCTTTCCGGGGCGAGGTGGATTTCCTGGCCACCTTCTTCCTCTTCTTGGCCGGAGACTTCTTGGCCTTGCTGGCCTTGGCCAGGCGGAAGGAGCCGGAGGCGCCGACCCCTTTGGTCTGCTTGAGGACGCCGGCGGCCAGCAGGCGCCGGATGGACAGCTTGATCTGCGCGTCGGCGTTCTGGCCCACCTTGTAGTGGCTCTTCACGTACTTCTGGATGGACTGGCGCGAGGAGCCGCCGCGGCTCTTCTCCGCACGGATGGCGGCCGCGATCATGTCC